AGACGAGTTGCGAGATCACTGACTGTCACGCCGGATTTATATTAGTCTGACGTGTCGTGTCGTGACGCGTCGAAGCGGTGTCAGTTTCATACATTCAATATGGTTAGATTTATGTTAGTGTGTCACAATCTGACGTAACGGCTTGTGTTGTGTGCATGAAATTGATACCGTTCTGACGCTTCACGACAAGACCCGTCAGATTAATGTAAATCCGTCTTCAGTGATAGTTGGATCGAAGGAAGGATTTTTTTACAATAATTTTTTCCAGGCTATTTTTAAAGTAAGAATGAACAAACAAGTATTCTAGACGAGAGTACAGTATCCTCATTCAAATCATCGCTTCCGATCATTGTGAAAAAACTCCTATCTTAGATTAAACAAGAACGTATTTAGATAAGGTAAGAATGCTGAGAAAGCCGTGGTATACTAATAGTTTGACCTACCGCCTCTCAAGCAGACGGATGTGCGTTCGAATACGAGCTAGCAACTCTGAATGTTTCGGAATTTATGTGCGAAATTTACCACAAGCTTTTCGGTAAAAGAAAACATCGTGTGGAAGCCTGCACACATCTGCAAAGCAATTTAATGAGAAGACCTATATCCAGCAGTGGGGCTATATAAAGGCTAATTATTATTGTTAACATTGACTGTGTCTTTATTCCTCAATACAATTAGTAAACAGAATGAATGAATTGATAATTTAATTATGACGCAGAAAACACAGTGGAATTGTTTATTTGCATAATGTATATTAATTTAATATCCATACTCTAATGAGCGGTAATAATTTTATGACCTGTTTATTTGTATCGAATGGTCTAATTTGCATTTGTATTGAAATAGATATGGAAAATTTATGCAGAATATTGCTCTAAAAATTTTATGAACCCTGCAAAATGTACTTGTCCACACTAGTATGGAAGTTTACTGACAAAAGTTTATTTTTTAAGTGTGCCCTGCGCCGGTTGGCAAGTTCTTTCACCACAATGGCAAGCAACACAATGTATCCCATCCATTGACTTACAATTATATGGACGTCGGGTCCGCGCTAAAAAGTGTCCGCACTTGTAAGGCGCTAAAATCGTATACAGAGCGCGACACTCCGCTTTAGTCTTCATTTGTTCTACGGACAGCGCGATACTGCGATGACATAACAATTTAAATTTCGAATAGGTTGACTTGGGACTTTTTTTCGTGGTTTTTGTATTAGACCCGTCGTCCATTTATTTGTAAGTCAATGATCCCATCGATATGATGTATCTAGTAGTACTACTAGGGAAGTACTGCCACTTTATCTATTTCTACCGCCAAGCCGTAATGTGAGCATTACTGAGTGCCGGTTTGGAAAGGTAAGCGCCCAGTTAATTACACAACGCGAAAGTTCGCGCAGCGACCGCCCAGTTACCACGCTTTCACTCAAGTAAACTTGTTATGAGACTGTTGAAGAGGTTGATAAAAGTGGAAGGAGTTTTTAAAGTTTTTAGTGGCCCTTACGATGAAACCTAAGGTTTTATATGACTTGGATACGATGTAATCATAATGATCTCAAAAGGTGAGTTTTTCATCAAAATAAACGCCCAGGTCCCTAGCTACAGATTTGCGTTGAAATGTTTTACCGCCGATTGCATAGTTGTAGAATACTTTTTGATGTTTGTTAGTGAATTGATTGAAGTTGATTCTACCCAATGATCTTGTTTTATATTACCTAAAACCTTGCTCCTTTTCAGTACCAATGCTCAACTATTATTTCTGTAATTTTTACTCAAATTACTCAATTGTTGTAGCCGAACACTGATTTCCAAGACACAGGCCTGTGCCTAGTCTGGATAGTCAGAGTTCAACAATCATAGTGTACAACTATTACTTAATTAGGTTCAGGTGCAATTTTAGTGGAACCTTATCTTTCATCTCTGTACAAATCTTTTTTGAGAATAAAATTATTATTATTATTATTTATTATTATCATTACATTAATGGCGAATCTGAATTCTATTTACTAGGCAACAACATTTAAATTCCTCGAAATAATATAACCGCGCGTAGACCAAAAGACAAGCCAGGCTTGCCCGCTCACCCGGGACGCTCATTTAAGTTAAAACGTAAATGCTAAATAAATAGAGTGTATTTTGCCGTGACAGTTAGATGCACGCGGTCGCTGCACGGTGGCCACGCGGTCTCCGCGCGGCGTGAGCGCGATGAAATTCTTGTCGAATAAAAGCGCCCTAGGCCTTAGTTCACACGACATTCTCCTGCATGTTCACATGATATATTTTCATGCGTTTAAAAAAACGGATAGCCGCAGTATTCACACAGCAATCGCTCCGAGAACACGTCTGTGATGGACGCACACTTTATTGCACTGTTATATGGGCGTAGAAGACGCCAACGGCTCTGCCGCCAGAAGGTATTTAGTTCATCCAATGAATCAAGAAGCAGTGCATACTAACACATTTGAAAATTTGTACGAAAGTCTGAGAAAATGATGAAAAAAATGTTCAATTACTTTTGGATGTCAGTAGGATAGTTTTGGCAATTTATTAAAACGTATGGAGAATTCGTGGTTACCAAAAATAAAAACGAATACTTCAATACCAAACTCCGCTTTTTCGGTGACTATTCCATAAAAAACGTATAACTTCGCGCCATGTGAGAAAGATGCATTAATACTAAGCGCCAGTGCCCACCGAATACGTTAATGTTCATTCGATTTGCTTGTCAAGTCCGTTGCGTATTCGACAAACGTATAGAGATGTGTGAGTTTTTTTGCAGGACAAACACTGTGTGAACGTTTCTATATCTGACGTATGCACCACTGTTTATTCGGTAAATGTGTACTGCAAAAAAACATCCAGTACAATGCCGTGTGAGCGGGGGGTAAGTGTGCTGGTGAAATTATAAGGTGATAGGCGCAGTGGCAATACCCCTAAAGATTTTTGCCATATAAAGCTCTAAGTGGCACTGTAACTTAATTGTTATGGATAGGCGTGTCTCTTACCACCAGGCGCATGACCTCTTCGTCCCATCACTTGGTATTATAAAAAAAATCTTTGTGTTATGGTATTGTAGCTCACAAATAGACGGAGTGATCTCAAAGCAGTTTTTTGCTAGAAGCCTAATTTTATCTGGAAGTTTTTAAATATGTTTGATGAACATCTGTTCGGCTGTTTAAAGATTATCAGCTCTTTTCTCAGTTAGTCCACAGATCTCAGTCATGAAACAAGTCTACAAATTATTTAAAAAAAACAAAAACCCGACTTCAGAAATATTTTTAGCTGGAATAATTTAAAAAAATAACTCTCGTTCACTATTTATATTTTTTTAAAGCCTATGACAGTCCCACAATCAAAACAAATCTAACGACACCTCGTATATCAAAATCCATCAAGCTGTTTAGGCTGTACAGTGAAACATAGAAATGGACATAGATACTATATACATACACTCGAAAAACATAACCCTCCCGTTGTCGGGTAATGAATATTTATTTTACTTATCTGATCGTCTTGAATCTGGTATACTATGGAAATCCGATGACATTACAATAATATGGTAGCCTAGATTTGATACTGCAACCAGGATAGTCTGCGGACTACTCATTTCCTCGCCTATTTACAGTAGAAGTAATTGTGTTTTCCCAACGATATCTATTATTATCCAGTCCTAGCGTAGTAGATGCGGCGTCACACACAAGCGCTGTATTTCACTGATGTGCGGTGAAGACACAACACTTCAATATCATAGATTAATAAGCAACAGAGTATTCTGACTTAACAATAACAGAGTAGAGTATAATATAAACAAAATAGTTACTATGGTTATTATATCAATTTACAAAATATAAAAAAACGGCGCAAAATGCCGAAAAATCCAGTACAAAGATATTTAACAGGAAACACATAAGGTGAATTTGGACAATACGATAACTTCACCCCTAGCTCAGTTAGTAAGAGCAATTACTACGGTGCAGTATAATCGTGGTTTCAAGTGTCATCGGGTAGAAATAAATTTGTCTGTGTTCCGTCTTTGTATTAATAATTCATATTAAAAACTAGTGGAGTTATTTCACAGAAAATTTCAATACAAAAAAGGTTAGACTATACGGTCTAAAGATCTTTATATCTCCGCGAGGAAAAGTACCTACATAACATAACATCAATAATTTCAACAACTCGACTGTATTTTTTACAGTCGAGTTGTTTTTTTATTTGGCTTAATTTGGTTTTCTTTTTAGTATCATAATAATTATAAATAGTAAGCGGAAGGCCCTGGGTCAAAGCAAAATAAAATATAATTTGCAACTAATAGCGAATTTGCCAGGGGCTTTACGTTAATTCTGTTAACCGACTATGAATAAATATCATTGGTAAACACTCAATATTATCTGCCTACCTGGTTCATTCCCAATAGGTATAGACTGTCACGTCTGTCCACTGTACTACGGTACTGATACTCTTTGACAAAATTCAAGACTAAAACAAAATACTATCACCGTTGACAGTGTTTTTGTTTGGAAAATGTAGTTGCTGTGAATGTTCTTGTCTACAGATTGAAGTCGTTGGTTTGTGCTCATTAAATTAGTCTCAACGAGTTGTTAGCTTACGATGATAATCATTGGACTTATAATTATATGGACTTATAGGGCGTTAAAATCGTATACAGAGCGTCATTCACGCTTTAGTCTTCGTTTGTTCGACTGACAGCGAAGCAAGCAAAATTAGACAGTACTATGACATTACAGTTTAAATTCAACGTTTTAGATTTTTCATATTCCTTTACATGTCACTACGTTTAAATAGGTTGACTTGGGACATTTTATTAGACCCGTCGTCCATTTATTTGTAAGTCAATGATGATAATGGTGACTTTGTTCGCTTTTTGGAGTACACTGTTTTGTATCGGGTGAATTTCATTCTGAATAAATTAAACATTTTAATTACGTGAAAAAATTTGTGAGCCGAGATTTCATTACAGAGTTGTAAGGCCAGTGTGTAATTTGATAAGGGTCGGCCAAGGCGAAATTACCACAACCAAATTGAAGACGGCATAAAAGAAAGGTCAGGTCAAGCGTATATGAAAGCATTGATGCATCTTAATGAGGTGAAAGAATTTCAGGATCTTAGCAAATGGAAAGCTATATAGTAGCTAGTCTAGTTAATTAGTCTTTTCCTACCCCATTCGGAAAAGGGCGCAGGCAAAGACAGTGTATGTACAGACGGCAGCATATCAAGCTAGGATTGTATAGTTCATGAACTACGTACGCACTATTAGGAATATATTCCCGACACTGACCAACATGAACTAGTTCATCTTGCACGGCCTTAATAGTTCATCGATTGTTTTAGTTCAGTACGAACTAGCAACTGTTTGCGTTGATAGTTCACTTGTCTTTTATTCGGCAGGAACAATGTGAGCGGGACAATAAGCGATCTTTCCCTGCTTTTAGCACAAGTTCGAGTGAAATGAACGACTGAACGTTGCCAGCTCGTTTTAAGTCTCTATTACGTACATTATGGAAAAAAAGTAAGTGTTAATATATTTTGGTAGGTGTGTATTTTGTCTACAGATATGTACAATAACAACCTACATGTGTATGAAATCGTTGTAAATATTGATTTTCAAACACACCACTCTAATAAAATATACGTTATTTATTATAGTTTTGTAAAAAAAGGTATTTACTTAGAATGACAGACCGATCCCATACAAATTGTATCTTTAAATATTTAGTATAGTGTAATTAGTATTGACCTCACAACGCTAGAAGTCCGTAGTAGTTCATGTGAATATAATAACCAGTTTGGAACCTTCGTTCAATGTTCGTACAAGGATTAGACGAACTAAGGAACTAGAAGAATGAAACGAACTATAAGACCGACCTAGTACGGTTGACTGATTAAACTAGTTAGGATCGCTCCCTTCAGAGACCGATCAAGCACAAGTCTTTATCAAGCTACACATAGACGGATCTTCTTCCGTTGCACTGAACAAAAGTGTGTAGTGTGTGTGTGTGCGTGTGTGCGTGCGTGCGCGCGTGCGTGTGTGTGCGTGTGTGTGTGTGTGTGTGTGTGTGTGTGTGTGTGTGTGTGTGTGTGCGTGTGTGCGTGTGTATGTAAGTGTGTGTGTGCGAGCGTACGTGCGTGCGTGTTTTCAAAAATGTAAAGAGCCATAGCAACCTAACCGTTTCATTTTTTTCAGAGATGGAAAACATCGCAAACATCTGCAAAAAAATTTAATGATGTGTCTGAAATTTCAAATTTCCAATGCCCAGTGGACCTGCGTGGGAATTACAGTCCAAACACTCTCATTGTGTCCGGCAATGAGACTATACAGACTAACTATTGATTTCTGATCTTTCATTTTGTTCGAATTATAAACAAAACTCTTAAATTTTCGCAAATTACATAGTAATACAAACAAATATGAATAGTTTATGTTATTTGGCAGTTGAAGCTCTTATTGTAAAAGATAGTTTCTTGTCACCGAAACTGGAGAAGAGACCTCGTCTGGAGGTCGAAGTCTGTTCACTGAGGTCGTGTTAAAGAATATTCACCTCTCATAAGAATAAAAATTAAGTTTAACAAAAGTTGAAAGATGAATGATCTTTTACGTGACCTAACAGTGATTGGTATTGAACCTAAACATCGTATTAATTACGTTATCGCTATAATAACAAGGGAATATTTTTCATTACGAGACAAATTTTGTTACATCACGATTTTATCAATACGTAAAATTGTATACGATTGTAAATATTCTGGAATATTTATTTTCATGAATATCATGATATTTTTACTACCATGATATTAAGTTCTTAGGTTTTAGGCAATTGTCACACATTACCATCGAACCTATAAAGGGCCCGAAACGTTGGTTTGTTTGAAAAAACAAATTTAATTTAATACACGCCATTTAGATCCGAAGAAATTAATAATTTCCTATATCATGTACACACACATCCAAAGTGTCAAGGGATCAAGCATGTTTTTGCTAATTACTGAAAATCTGGTTTTTTAATGATTTCTTTTTAACATCAATGGATTTTTTGATCAATTTCATTTTCAAATTAAAATTATAAAAGTGATAAAAACCCATCGGTATTAAAAAATAATAATTAAAAAATCTGATTTATTTATTATTTAAACAGACTTCTGTGATGCCTTCGTCTCATGCTAAGCGCAACTAGTCTATCATATGTTTCTCTTCTGTACTTAGCAGTGGCATCCGGACATCCATTATATGTTCCTGTGGTGTGCACGTGTCTCCTCTAAGGATAAGATTTATGCGCAGTTTAATGTGGAATTTTTTAAAGAGTGACAGAATGTACAAGTCGTGCACCTGGTGGTAAGCTACACGCCTGTCCATAACAGTTGCAGTGCTACTCAGAGCTTTAAGTCGTAAAGATCTGGGGGCACTGCCACTGCGCCCATCACCCTGAGACATAAGTTGACAAGTCCCATGTGCCTGTAATTTCACCAGCACGCTTACCTTTCAAAACCGGAACTACTGCATGGCGGCAGTAATAGGTAAGGTGGCAGTACTTCCCTGGACGAGCTCTAATGCTGGGGACTCACACGTTTTCCAAGGTTTGTGGACCTTTTTCGACTTGAAAGTTTCATCACGATATTTTCGTCCACTGTTAATGAGAAGTATTGTGTGACTGTTTATCACAACTGTACGTAACTTAGAAATCAAAGTTACGGGTACCACCGCTCTAGATTCACCGCGTTCTTTTAGTAGTGGCAAAGCGAGATTTTTTTAATAAGGTAAGCCTATTGTGTAAGTTACGCAGCAAATTGTGCATCGTACGATAAGTTCCGTTCAATCGCGATACAAAAAAATTACATTAAAAAACAATGACTTTGTACAGTCAAGAACACACGCTAACCTGATACTTTGGACTTTAAACCGTTCTTATCGCACGAGTATTGAGTACAATTTAAATCTCAAAAGTCAATCTTCTCGTACCCTTGACCCTGTGTAAACAAAATAATAGCTATTAATAATTGCAACTTTTTCATTGGAAACAAAAACTGGCCTCAAAAGTTTGCTTATCGACTTTTTGGTTTCCGTGAAATTCCCTCATCAGGTTCTGACTTCTTAGTGACAATAAGACTGTCACGGACTCCTTTGTATATTTTATACTGTTTTTTCTGGTTATCATTGGTTCATATCATCGAACACTCAGAAAAAATTCCTTCGAACCGACGTCTTCTAGCATACTGAGTGTTCGATCTTTATATTAATACTTATAACAAACTAATGGAGTAATTTCACAAAAAAATATTTGAATATCAAAACAATAAAAATTTAAAATTTATTTTACTATTTAGGAGAGTTAAATAAATGTTTTTGTATATTTTTTTGTAAATCAAATCACACACGGGAAAGTTCTGGTACTTACTTATAACTGTGATAAAGAAGTTTGTAGTTTGAATACATAAAATTGTATTTATATTTAATAAAGTAAAGTCAGTTGATCACTTCAATTACCTAGTCTCGAATTAGGAATACTCTATTCTATGAGGACCAGAACGACGCAATTCACTCTGGGGCACTTTCCAAAACACCCGTGAAGAAACACGCGCCGCGGCGATGCAAGGCGTCTTAAGACATATCCCGTGGGATACTGTGCAATTACGCGGCTCAAGGCCCCGTTTGCACTCCCACTATGTTTACGTGATCCTACTGTAATTGCAAACGTTACATAATGAAAGTTCTTAATGTCGAGTACCATGTAATAGGTACGAGATTTTAAGACCTAATTTTATAATGATTGCATACAATACTTTTTATACGAGTAAATAAGATAATGAAACAACCAATATTTAATGTATATTTTGTTAGCAATCCGTGACAACAAACTCAAACGAAAGCCAAAGAACCGCTACAAAACAAAAACCAAAGAGCTAGAATAGAACTTTAATGCAATTTTTACGTTCTGTAGCGAGTAGAGTAAAGCTTTTGTAATATAGTAGTAATAATTTTGTATGAAACTTTAATTTACAAATTAAAGTACAAGAGTAAAAATAAATACTTTTTCTTTTGAGAATGTTATATTGTCTGAATGTTATAATATTTCAGCTCGTACTTTAAGAAAGTTTGAACTTTATGATTCATGAAAAATGATGAATCGTGAAGGTGGGTTTTATCAAGATAATGCCAGACCACACACATATTTAAGGAACCGCCAAAAACTATTGCTTTTGTTAAACAATTGCCATAGGTTAGGGGATATTTACACAGCCGCTTTACATTTTAACTTGCTTCGGTCTTTACAAAATTCTTTGAATGGACACGATTTTGATAACATAAAATTTGATGTTTATTTCTATCAATGTTTTACATTGATACTTTAATACCACACAGACGTTTTGGCCAACCCAATACTATACATACTCATAATATATGTTATAGTATCAGGAGAGTTCTTTGCAGCAGTGCCCCTCAAGGGGCCTACCACAAGCTCTTAAAACAATATTACTTTAACCTTACATTGACCTTTCGTACCATGACGCGCTTAAAGTAAGCTTATTATAATGTTAAAACTATGATGTTTTATTGGCAATTTTATGACTACTCATTCAATCAGTTCGCACTATGACGCGACTTTAACGTTAAAGTAGCATTGTTCTTATGTCATATTTTAATATATAAAATCTTAAAATGCAACGTGAATGCAATGGAAACAACATTATTTTCAGTTTTATTGTCTTAATATTGACGTGTAATGATTAAAAGTTAAGTTGAACTTATTTACATATACTTCGTCAATATTTTGTTTATTTTGTTATTTAATAATAAAGAAATAATTTCTCGTTAAATAAAAATACGCGTTGTTTATTTCGCAAAATTACGACAGCGACATCTATACACTCCTTGGCAACACTAATAGTTGACGAATTGACAACGTCACAATCAAGACTCAGCTTGTTTTTATTTATTTTTCTTCGTGAAAATGCGGAGAAATAATTGAAAACAACGTAATTTAAATAGATTTCATTATTACATACTATTCTTTTTGGCGGTTAAAGTTCTCTGCGTATGAATAATATTAAGAAATTTAACAATATACTACGAGATGACAATTCGGAACATCAAAAAAGAAAGAGATGACTTTATAGGGGAGAGGTGTGTCAATTGTAACAAAAAAAATTCAATCCTTCATAATATTTTAATTAAAAATCACAGCGTAATCATTTTTGGTCACAATAGTTTTGAGTTATCTAGTTCTAAAATTAAATGAAGAAAACAACAAAAAATTAAATAAAATTATAGGAAATGACACTTATTGAGATCAGCTAATATTGTTACAATTGCTGCACCAAGAGGGTCAATTGTAACAGTAATGAGAGTCAATTGTAACATACAAAACATACAGTCTGGAGATTACTCTATCACTAATGAACAAATCAATAACAGTTATTCCGACAAACAGTTTAAACACACAAAAAAAATATCATTTTTAGCACAGCTGGAATGTGCCCATTTGCGGCAATCTCTGCATTGCAACCAATCTTCTCTGCTCGTTTTGTAATGTTCAAAACAGACAATACAATAATTATCGTCTTCGTCTGTATCATCTAAGTCTTCATTTATATCTTTATTTGTCTCATTATCTTCAATTCTTACAGTATTTTTTCTAGTAAATTTCTTCCCTGTCGGTTTAGAATCTAAATTTCTTAATTTTGGTTTTTTTTTTTCAGTAATCTTTCTTTGCTTTGCCTCTAACGCTTTCTTTTCTGGTGTATCAGTGTATATTGCACTTTTTCCTTTGGATCTCCCTGTCTTAGATTTGACTCGTGGTGGTGCTTTTGGAAGAGGAACCACGTCTAATAGTGATATCTTACGTGTATGATGAGAAAAACTTGGTGTTGGTTGAGATGACATCTGAGGCAAAATCTGATTTGATGTTGAAGGTCCTGAGTTGTTAATCAGTTCAGTCATGTCTTGCTGATCACACTGATCAAGCATGACTTCTTCATTCGCTTGGTCAGTAACGCTGGCTGGAGCAAAATCAATGTCGGAAAAAATGTCTTTGTTATATGGCCATATACCCGTACATGCAAACCCTTGGGTTATGTTATTTGATGTAACAGCAACAGCAATAGCTTCTTTAACAAGTCCTGGTAAATCATATATGGTCATTCGTTGACCAGGATGATTCTTCATCCAATGATCAGCAGCAATATTAAATTTAGTTTTAAACGGTCCAAAAACTGACCGGTCAAGTGGTTGTAGTTTGTGCGACGTATGTGGTGGAAATGATAAAATAGAAATGAAGTTTTCTTTACAAAATTGAATAACAGGTACATTTATATGGGAAGAATGATTGTCCAAAATAACTACAACAGGATTTTCTTGAGTCGGCTTAGCAAATTTAGTAAAATGCTTCATGAACAATAAAAATTCTTCATCTTGCATCCAACCGCTTTTGTTACCTGAACCACCACAACCAGGAGGACCATCTCTAATAAAATGAGACTGAAAATTCTTTCGGGGAAATACAAAGAAAGCAGGCACAGCGTTTCCAATTGCATTAACAGCCAAGCAAACAGTGACCAGGGTCCCTCGTTCTTGAGAAGTAATTGAACCGACCTGTTTGGTCCCTTTAACAGCAATTACTCTACTAGGTTTTTGAGTTGTTGTTACACCCGTCTCATCTATATTATATATATTATGTGGTTGACATTTAAGTCTATCTAAAAGTTCACCCCACTTGTCAAAAAATTTTTCAACATTTGGTTTGTTGAAATTCATGGCTCGAGCAAGACTTGTGGCTTCAGGACGTCTGACAGATAAAGTTGAATGCCTTTTCATAAAGGCCTTGTACCAATCAAGGCTAGCGAGTTCTGTGTCATTCCACTTTTGGGGATATTTTAAATTATTTGCTTTGGCGTACGAAAAGGCCAATTTACGTAAATCTTTGGTAGTCAAACCAAAGTAAAGCTGACTCGCTGTCATGCAATATTGCGACAATTCAAGTTCCTGTTCTGAAGAGAACACTTTATTATGTGGGGCGTATCCAGTTTTAAATGTATTATCCTTCTTGTATTTAGCGACATACCTAGATAGAGTTACATGACACATGCCAAAGCTGGTAGCTACACTTCTGACACTTTTCCCTTGCTTAATGACAATTTCACAAGCTTCAGTATACTTTTCTTGTGACATTGTGCCACGCGATGTCTTCCGAGGTCGTTTATAAACCATTTTGTATGGAATCTGAAAAAATAATTGTACTAATAAGTAACTAGCTAGTGTGGGGTGTCAATTGTAACACGTTACATTTGTACCTCCTTATTTTGTTACTTTTGCACCACTGCCGCTTTTTGGCAGATAATACTTAATTAACGAAAATCTATGGTAAATTGGATCAATTCACATACCTCCACGTTTAGATTGGATGTCAACTTCTTCAAAATTCACCACTAAGCTCTAGTAAAACTGTGTAATTTAATTATAATAACAAAAACTGTGCTGAGTAAAAATTTTCCGAAACCAGCTATTTCACAAACTTTCGTATACTGACAACGCATTGGTGAACTGTTTTACCCATAAGTTCTGTCGGTAAAACAGTTCGAGACAAAGCTTCGATTGCCTTCTATAGTTACCGCTACTCGTTAATAGATGACGTTAAACAACAGATGTTACAATTGCCTCCCTGTAACAATTGACACACCTCTCCCCTACAGTTCACTGAGCGTTCGGACGGAAACGGTGCGATGAGGACGGCTTCACAAAGGTGGTGAAGAGGAAGATGAAACCCACCATCAGTAACCAGTGTGGCACAGCACCGACAGGACCGAATTTCCTGCTGCGTCCGGCCATACCGTCGACGCTGCTGTACCTGCCACGACTGTATTACTCCACGAAGTCTGAGGAGATAGTGGAGTACATCAGACATAAAGCCAAATACACCCTGAGGGTCGAGCGGTTAAAGTCCCGCCACAAGGTAAATTTTAATTCCTTTGTGGTGAGAGCGCCGACCGAACATCTACCGACCTTCAACAGCATCTATCGAAGGGTGTCATTTATCGGCGAATATACAGTTCATATGGCGTTATTTCTTTCCTATTTTTAGTAAGGAATAGACAATATTGGAAAATCATTCGTTCTTTCAGTCACTTTAGCAATAATACGTTACTTGGTTGACAGGTTCGTCATGGTACGAATATGAGTAATATTATAAAAAGCTTACTATAAGCTTACGTTGAAATAAGATTGTTTTTTGAAAGGTTATGATAGACCCCCCAGATCGTTGCGATTTACAGCTCTGAGTGGCATTGCTATGGACCACCGCTTACCACCAGGCGCACGACTTGTTCGTGCCGACGCTTGGTATCATAATAAAAATATCCTTTACAATGTCAAACAAGTACATAACGTCGTCTTAGAGTGAAAACCTCGTATGTGATTTTTCAGGACGAAGATAAAAACGTGATGTAAAATGGAGTAAATGCAATAAAGATTGTAGTTAGCATTTTAATTAGTTAAATTATACCTCTTTCTTTATTATATTTGAACTAGAGGTTTATAAGTTTCTCTTTAACAAAAATCAGTAAAAACGAACTATGTGAAAACGCGTGTGCTAGGTTTTGACGACGGTAATATAATAAAAAGTTAAGACGTTATCACAGAATATTTACAGGATCAGCTACACGCGATGAAATCATGTCAACATTATACAATCTGAAAAAAACAGTATATATTAGATTTCGTAATAAAAATTGCGTACAAAGCTGATAAAACAGCTGTAAATATAATTATGGTACCATGCTAAAAGATAAATGTTGTAAGATTGGTGACGCCCAAGTTTACAACTCTTTACAATATATTTTTAGTATCTACATTTTCGGTACGCCAACTTATCGTAAAAAAGATCAAAGTACATAAAGTTATGAGATAAATTAACTCCTAAATTTTATTGTACACAATACAAACAAACTTGTTTGCATTTATGTCTCACGTATTATGGGCTTGTAATCGTGTGCCTTTAGCAGAATTGTCTTGTGTAAATAATTGCGCATGTAAATATTATTAAACAACAAAAGGTAAAATAATCTCATAATCTGTGCAATGTATTTGTTTACTTTTCGTCAGTAGTGGGCGCTTAATAAGAAATATAATTGCTTAACTACTTCATTTCCAAGTTCCTTTGAAGTAGGCGTACCCAATATACGGGCGTGCGCGTGTGTCTGCGCGTGTGTGTGTGTGTGTGTGTGTGTGTGTGTGTGTGTGTGTGTGTGTGTGTGTGTGTGTGTGTGTGTGTGTTAGTGCGTTTTCTTTCACAGAAAATAAACTTTACTTAGTGTATGGAACCGGACAATAAAAACTATTTGATTTCGTGTAGTGAATTTCCCCTTTATATAAATTTCAGTTAATTTTATACAACAACAAAGTTATTTCCAATTTTTTTCATTATAAGTATTACGGTTTTCCCTTATCAGTCTAAGCCTGTGCAATCATGTTTGAGATCAACTCACTCTTTCGCACTCTCGCGTACTATAAAATATAGAACCAATATTGGTTTTATCGTAAATAATACTTTTTATCATAAATAAATAACACATTCCACGTAATTATACTTCCACTCTGCAAATAAATCGAAAACCACTAATAATTATCATGAATGTTTACACAAGTCTGCCGTGTAAGTAGATATTTTAAACCCTAATGGTTTTAATTACCAGTTATTGACATTTGTGTCATTTAAGTCTGTAGATGAGGTTAAAGCTTTACAAGTTGTTTTGAATAAACACTGTCGGGTTATATAAACGTAAGGCCTGGCGCCCATTGACGGGACGGCCACAAAGTTAAGTACTATAGAAGCCGTAACGTAGCTCAGATTGCATTGCGTAGAGGTACTTTTATAAGAAAATTCAATAAATATAATTGTGTATTCAATTTGGAATCTAGTTTCGAATTGCCAATATCTTCTTATATTTTTTCTCTTATTTTTTTTAAATACATTCTAAACCCAAACCTATATTCATTCAGCCAGTATTTCTACTCATAGAGTAGATCCTACACTACAATACCATAAAATTAAGATACTTGAAATTTCAATGATAATGGTCATATTTGTATATATGACCATAATCGTTGTAATAATCATATTATTTACATATAAAACACATTCGTTTGCTTTTACAAAGTCACTGTGCATGTTAAACCAGAGAATAAATAGCTCAAAAAAGTGATAGATAACCCTAGCAGACATCTACAGTGCTTTTATTTTCTCAATGTCTCTCGGCAAACTTCGTATTTCGGCTGTCGTCAGGTTTTATTTAGTTGCCCTTTGCCTTTGATACAGACAGGACGCTTTCAGTCGTATAGAATTGCTATTACATTTTATTTTATTTATGATACATTTGGAGAAAAGCCGCTAAAGCCACAGGCACGACAGATAATTCACAGCGTGTACTTGTATTTTTTACAAGAAGCCGATACCCGGGGGCCTACCATAACCTTTCCAAAAACAATCTTATTTCAATGTAAACTTAAAGTAAGCTTATTATAATATTACTCATATTCGTACCATGACGAACCTGTCAACCAAGTAATGTATTACAAAAGTAATTGAAAGAACGAATGATTTCCCAATATTGTCTATTCCTTACTAAAAATAGGAAAGAGATAACGCTATGTGAACTATATTTTGCCATCTCTTTTTTTTTTGATGTTCCGAATCGTCTTATGGTACTATAATGTTTAAATACTTAATGTTATTTACATTCAGAGAATTTTGACTGTTAAGAAAAGAAAAGTATGTAATAGTAAAATTTATTAAAATTACGCTGTTTTCAATAATTATTCCGCATTTTCGTGAAGAAAAATAAATACAACAAGCTGAGTCTTAATATTCGAATTCGAAACTATAAGTCTAGTGTCAACTGTTAGTTTCGCCAAGGAGCATATAGATGGCACTGATATAATTTTACGAAATAAACATCGCGTATTTTTATTTAACCAAAAATTATTTACTATGTGCTATTTAAATAAAAAATAAACAAAATATTGAAGAGATATATGTAAATAAATAAGTTTAACTTAATTTTTAATAATTACAAATCAATATTAAGACAATTAAACTGAAAATAATATTGTTTCCATTGCATCCGTGTAACTATTTTAAGATTGCTAAAATTGACATAAGAGCAATATTACTTTAATGTTAAAGTCACGTCATAGTACGAACTGAGTGAATAAATAGTCACAAAGATGCCAATAACACACCATAGCGTATAAAATCATAATTTAACGTTACAATCAGCTTGCTTTAAGCGAGTTATGGTACAAAAAGTCAATGTAAGGTTAAAGTAATATTGTTTTAAGAGGTTGTGGTAGGCCCCCAGTTCGAGCAGCTCGGAAAGTGGTTATTCGTGACATCGTTGGCGAACGTACTAACATAGCTATGTCTGATGAAGGAATGCATTCAAATATTTACTGAATTGAAATTATTACTTAATAACTGAAAAAATATTAATTTTTAGTTATAAAAAAGAAGCACACTTTATTTATTTTATACTTTTGTTAATTTGATTTGACATGGAGTACATGTTATTAAAAATAGGGAAATAGTTTTACAGCTCTGTATAGTTCACACGAAAATGAAAACAAAACAACAATATAGGTAGTTCGTTGTTTAAAATTCAAATTATTATAGATTTTAAACCTAATAATTAATGTGCATTGAAATTAATATTCGTGTGCATTCGGAAATCCGATGTTGCCGAAGGACATTAAGACAATAGAAGCACTGTAAATAAATTTCTACCGTTTTTGTATAGAGTGTCCGAATACTTAACATGTACATGTATGTTTATGTAACATAACAAATTAACATAACAAATGCAATTAATTGCGTTAAATATTACTGCGTACAACAAATAAGACGTCTTTGTTTAATTTACGATGACAGGGTCGTTTCTGAAGAGGGGGCAAATCTGGAAAGTGTTTTATACCCGTCTGAAATTCGTTTTATTGGGTAATGAATTTTACACAAATTGTAATTTTATTTCTTTATTGAACATCATTGTGTCATTTACAACGTCTGTTTCATGCCAGCTTTTTTAACTTCCTTTTTTGTTTTGCTTTGTTTACTATTATGTTAGTGACCATCGTATCGCACTCTTGGTGTAAGAAGGTCACATCTGCAAATTGACAACTCT